GGCCTCCGCGTCGCTCTCGGACGCAGCGCCGGGCCCCAGGAAGTGGGCGTCGGCGTCCGCCCTCGCCCCGCGGGTCGCTGCGAGCGTGCCCCCGTCTGTCCTTCAGCGGCGCCTGCAGAGCAGGGCGACTTAGGGTCAGAGCCTGGCTTAGGAAGGCCTTAGCAGCGGATTTAGGTGTTTTCTGCTTTCAACCCTTGTGGCGTAGACGCTGGGCAGAACGCAAATTCGGGGCGGGGGCTTAAGGTGAAGAGCTCTCCCCTCTTGGCACTTAAACTGTTTCCCTTGACCTTTAATGGATTCTTGCTGAGACGGTTTTGTGTTCGTCTATGGCTATTACTTTCACTTTTTTCAGGATAAAATGTGGTGAGTTGTAAAGAACGTGGCCCGCAGCTTTGAAGAGCCCTGTTACAGTCCTGGCTAACCCTGACTTTAGGCAAGACAATTTTATGTTGGTTTGGTTTCCTCACTTGTAAAACCAAGCTTCTACCACAGTACCATGTTTAAGGAATTGCTTTGTAAATTTTACATCACCATGAACAGAGTAAGTGGGGTTACTACGGTCCCAGCTCCAAAATTCAGTCACTGTGATCCTCAGGTCCTGTCTTTGCCAGATAGCTCCTTAAGGATTGTGACAGAAGGCATTTTGGGGACACTTTTTTGAGACAGGGTCTCATCATGTAGTGCACACTAGCCTCGAACTCACAGTGAACCTCCTGTTTCAGCCTTCCCAGTGCTGGGGTTACAGGCTTGCGCCACCACGCCCAGCCTGTTTTTTTCCCTTAATTTTGGTAGTTTTTAATGTATTGATGGGCTGTATGTACTTCTTTGAAGCTTTCAGTTCTACCTGAAGATTGAAGGTAAAATGTTACTTTCACATTAAACTCATTTTTTAAAATGCCAAGTCACTAGAGTTGAAAACAGGAATTAAGTTTGTTATCAGCTGACTTCACGTTTTGCCTTGGTTTTCTGCCTTTGATAGAGCATCAGAAGTATCAAATGAGAGGGGTTAAAGATGACAGCGAATCAAGGGAGGAGGTTTACAGGCTTTCTTGCTTACACAGACACCTACAGGACCATCTGGAGTGCAGTGCTTTCACATCTTTAATGCATCTTAAGGATTCTGTTCTACCTGTACCTTCCTTCTTGCTTTACTAAAGGTAGAGGCCTCTTCTTTATAGTTTTCAGGTTGTTAATACACATGGCAAAAATATTGCAGGTGGCAAAGAAACAGAAAATAGTTCAATGCCTGCCTGTATGTCTGCTGACTATCGTCTCATCTGTAAAATTGTGGTATCACCATATCCCTGAGAAAAGAATTCATAGTAAAATGTCTAGGCCATTCCCAGTACTCAATAAAAAGTGGCTACGAGTGGACAGGTGAAGTGACCAGGAGGCAATTAGAAATTCATTCCTCTTAATCAACTGTCAAAGTCTGTTAGAAAGGAAAGACATAGAGGGCTGGGGATATAGTTCAGTGGCATAAGCGCCTGCCTGGCAAGCACAAGGTCGTGAGTTCAATCCCCAGTACCGCAAAAAAACAAACAAACAAAAAAAAAAGGATAGATATAGAGACACTACAGTCTTCAGTCATTTCATCCATGCGAATGGGTAAGATCATTAAGGGTATCATGAAGAAGATGACTAAGAATAGGCCCTAACATTTAAGGAGTTGGAAGAATACTAAAAGTCAAATTGGAAAATAACACAGGTAAGAAACTTAGGAAAAGGGGCTGGGGATTTAGCTCACCGGCAAAGCGCCTGCCTGGCAAGCGCAAGGTCATGAGTTTGGTTCCTGGTACCGGAGAAAAACCAAAAAAAAAAAAAAAAAAAACTTAGGAAAATGTTCATGCATAAAGTGTCAAAATGAAAAAATAAGTCCTCTTACATATTCAAACAAAATTTTGTTTGGCTTTTACTGCATCGTAGGAAAACCACTAAATTACAGTAATCACACTCCCAACCAACCTTATAAGTAACATTAAAAGTATATGAGAGTTGGCAAGAATTGTAGTCACCAAACAGCATTTACTGATGAAGAGCTGGCAGGTGACAGGCACATGTAAGCCCTGCCCTCTGGGACCTATCATACTACGAGCAAAAGGCCCTCTGAGTCATGATATCAGCATCAGAGCAATATGGAACTGAAGTTTCCTGGTGATGGTGCTTTGTACTGTGAGCCAATCTGGGCCTCTATAATTAATCCACTTACAGTAGCACAGCCATTAAAAATGACTCATCAGTAGTCAAACATCTTCAATATGGGCCAAAACTTGATTTTTTTTTAATCTGGTTTTTTAAACGTATAAGAAGCTGGACATGGTGCTACACACCTGTAACCCCAGCACTTGGGAGGCTGAGGCAGGAAGGCTGCTTCAGGTTCAAGGCTAACCTGTGCTACATAGACTCTTGTCTCAAAAAAAAAAAAAAAAAAAAAAACACAACTTGTAAGAAATACTTGGTGTTGACAAAATGTCTTATGCAGTATCTCCTTTGGAACATATGCAACAAATAAGTCACTTAATACATGCATTTTAAAAGCCAGCATGTATGGCTTTGGGGTTTTTTTTCCCCATTTGTGCTTGATACATTGATTTGACACAGCTACTTATGGATCTAGGATATGAAGGGTTTGGAGAAAAGTTGCTTAATATAGACTTGCCCCTTTCCTCGACAGACAGGTAACACATACAAAAGAACCCATACCCAAATTATAGAATTTTTATTCCTTTAAAATACTATACAAAAAATATACCAGGTATATCTTAACAGATCTACAAATGATCCAAATTAAACGTGTTACTTCAATAATTTGAGTTGCTGGGATAATCCAGTTGATTACTTTGACCTCAAGCTTATTTCCCACAAACTCCATGAGGACACTGCTTTGTGTAAAGAGGTATTTTCTTCTACTATACTTTTTGAGTCCTTAAATATCTGAGATTCCATAAATATCAGATTTCTCTCTCCTGTGAGTAGCTAGGTTTGCTTTCTGATAGTTCTAATCACTGCTTCAAATTTCCAAAATACCTGAATTCCTAATACCATATCTGCCACAAAGAACACTGGGAATATTAAGTCTGTGTGTATTTTCTGAATTCATCCTCTTTTTACTTCTAAGAGCAGAGTACTGTATAATAAACAATAGTCAAATTAGGAAGGTATCTAAGAAAGGGAGTTTCCCATTTCTTTTACAGCCACTCCCAATACTCAGCCTGCCTAGACCCATCCCACTTTTCACTCCCATTTTTATCATTTTTCTTCATATGGTGGAAAACAAGATTTGAAGATACTTCTCTTACCTAAAGAAATTGTCATTGTTGAAAGACAGGAACGGGACAAGACACCCAAGAAACAATATAACAAAAGATGTTGGAACAAAAACAAAAAATCTCCTTGGTAGAAAAATTAACAGCTATGTTAAAAACCACAGTAAAATGACAGATTTCTATAGATCTGGGACAAAACAAAAACAGTAAAATAGTTTTTAAAGTATAGACTCTAGATGACTCTTTAATACAAAACAAACTATCTCCAGACCACTAGCCTCATAATAAATATTGAGACCTATACTACTGATATACAGAATTTATTAAGCTTTGCACATGTAATTGAGCATAATTTCAGTTGCATCCAAAGTGCTGACAAAAGCTCTAGCAGTCAAGAATGGCAGCATGTCATTTTATAACAATCAACATTGTAGATTTTTAAATTTGGTTTTTAGAAGAATTTATCTAGTCATGCTTTAAAAAAAAATTGCATTAAGTCACCCCAAGCGTGGCAATTAACATTTGGCATAAACAATAAAACAATCACAACTTGATAAATAACAGATAACATTGTGGGCCATAAACATATAGCATAAGGAAATGGTGGTGATGGTAAGTCAGTAGTTATTAGAGTACCTTGGCCTCTATGCAGAGGATTTGATTCACTAGCCTGGATACCCAGTTTTTAAAATAGAAACTGTGTCTACAGTACCATTTCTAACACTGCAAACAAGTAGACAATGATGAATTGTTTTTTATTAATAAATCACACCCTCAGGAGTTACCAACACCTCAGTATAAAAACGTTCAAGTTATATCAGTCATATAACTGTGTGCCTATTTTAAAAGGTGCTAAATGGATTAAATGGAGACAGCAATGCTTCCCCTAATGTGATTGATCTTACCATGTTTACAGCCATCAAGACCTAAAACACTTAAGGTGTCTGAACTAACGTTGATGAGCACACTCATATTTCAACCTGCTTGGCTCATTATTTGGTCAACTGTCCACTTACTCTGAAATTAAAAATTTAGTATTGTCAAAAATCAATGTAAGTGACATAATAACAAGTATGATAAAATGGTTACAGTCAAAATGGCAGTTAACAAGGATATGGGGAGGTCCCACTCCCAAGTCACCCAGTAGTTAGAATTACTGTACATACTGTCACACAACTGTAACAAATGGATTTAAAGTTGTTCATTCTGATATCTTCACACACCCAAGATACGTACCTTATACAAAAACTGTTTATTAAAAAACAATTTTTTGTAGCTGATAAATTCTTCCCTTAAATGTAAATAAAATGGCACAGAAACTTAATAACCAAGATTCAGAAAATTCAAAACAATTTGAGTTAAGAATCAAACAGCATTAAAGAAGGAAAAAAAAAAATCAAGAAGAGAGATCCAAGTAGCATCTCCAATGCAGAGCAATTTTGTAAAGTAGAAAAAGCAACTGTGATCACCTGCAGCTTCTCAGATCATTCTAGCGTGTGTCTCCAGGTACTACCTGTGTCTGTGTAATAGTACTTCCCTAAATAAAGGGCCTTGAATGCACATTGAGGATGTTTTCCAGGAGTAGAGACGAAGATATTTTCATTTTAACTCAAACTATTTGGTCAAAGAAATATGTAAAGCTAAAGAAAAGCACATCTGGTAGAAATCCATAGCAATGAATGTTGACACGATGTGCTTGGATCTTGCTTGCAGCATCTGGCAGTGGGTAGTGGAACAAAGGTAGCAATCTCACAGGCTCTCCGGTGTCTGTTCTGGAGGCGGCTCTGTGGCGGTGGCACTAGCATTTGCAGTTGAATTCAAGACTTCTCCAAAATCACCGCCAGTAGGCTTGGTTCCCCCTACTTTAGACTTAAAAAAAAGAAAGAAAGAAAAGAAGAAACAAAATTAGCTGACTCTGCTAATTTTACTTTCAAAAACAAATCAGGAACCTGATAGCTCAGTGATCACTGTAGACATGTGGAAGTTAGTACTGTTGTAATGTTCAGGGTGGTTTGTTATTAAAATAATGCAGCCTTCTTTGTTGAAATCTTCAGGTTGAGGTCTGCTAATGGTTCCTCATAGGAAAATTTGTCTCAAGAACTTTGTAAAGCCTATTACTCAAAAATAGCTACTGACTCTCTTGATGCTTGAGTACACATTTTGCATCATATGAAAGTGTTCATTCAGCTACATTCATTCAAGAAATACTGTTCAGCACAGCAAATGGAAGAAATATATCTTTTTCGCACTTACGGTATAAGCGTTTCACCCCTTTACTAATGTGGGGCTCAAGGACTGCAGATTCATTGTTAGACATGTCGGCTCTCAAGACACTTGCCCTGCCCTGTGCCCCGCAGAACTGAAATGTAAACTCTAACAGGGTGCCCAGGTAATTCATGTACACTGTTCGAGAAGCACTCCTCCAACTTGCCTAGCCTGAAATTCTGTCATAAATATTTGTTAGAATGAATCCATCTGCCTAACATTTGTCTATTTCATATTTTGCAAAACCCCTTAATACGACTTCACTTCTGCATGTTCCAGTGCTGATATATCTGCTCGCTTGCTGGGTTACATGTCATGACTGACCCACAGGGCAGCCAACATTAAGAAGCCAGCCATTAACCAAGGGTGAAAAGAAGTTCAGAGCAGTTTTGAACCTGACCTTGCTCTTAACTCAGTCCTCACCGACTAGAAACTACCAAGAGGAGAATCTAGTTGAAATTTTCTTACTCCCTTTGTTCATCCATCCAAAACCTTTGAATTGAGAAATTTCATAACTTGCATCCATTGTTCTTGGTAAAACATATTTCTTAATAACAAATCATTAAAGGTACTTGCAGTTCAACATACTTAAAATTAAACTCATCCCCACAAGCAACTCCTTTTTAAAGAATTTATATGATAGCAGTATCTACCAACTTGCCCCAGCCAGACACCTGGAGTTGTTCGGAGCCTGCCCGTCTTGTTCCACATCTAATCACTTTCATTCTGTCCTTTCTAACTTCTAAATACCCCTACACTGTGTCCCACTGCACTACCCCAGTTCTCTCTACCACCATCTTTGGCTAGGATTAGAACTCTCAATTCCCAACCAATCTTCCTGTCTCCAGGCTTGCCTTTCCATTGGGTGTGCAAGGCTGCCAGTATTTTTTCTAAAATGCACACAGCTCAGACTCCTCAGCCTGTTTAACATCCTTCAATGGTTTCCCATTGCTCTATTTCCGAAATCCTAATTACTCAAAGAGGTCTTCAATCAAACATTCCTCTCAGTTTAAAGATCTCCACTTCTTTTACTGGGTCCTCTAAAAGGCCTTCCCTGACTTTCCCTCTCACCAAGGAAGATGAAGTTCCTACCAGTAATCCTCACTGCACCCTCAGCTTTCACTGCCAGCAGATGCTCAATAACACAGATAAAGCAATCCAAAATGTAAGAGTGTATATCATGACAGTGCTTACTTGAATATAAATGTAAACTGGCAAAATTATCCCCCAAGTATACAACTGTATTTTGCAATTTTTTTGGGAATATCTGTTTGATATGCTGTACTATATTTATAAAATTAATTTTTATCTGAATGATTCACACACACACAGGCAGTCTTGGAGACAGAACTCACAGCTTTTATAGTGAGTTATACTCCCACACCTGTTTTGAGACAGGGTCTCACTAAATTGCCCATGCTGGGCTCATACTTTTTGATCCTCCTGCCTCAACTTCCTAGAGTGCTGGGATTGCAAGGATGTGTCACCACACCCAGATACAAGCCGTGTTATAAAAGTGTATTTTACCACAATTATAGAGTCTGAATGTGTTCAGAAAGAGAATATATAGCAAATGACTAGAGGTTCCTCCTCTCCATCAAAACTGGATATAGGCTGACTTCCAACTAGCCATTTCAAAGACTGATGCCTAGGACAAATGCCCAGGTTAGGACATGAAAACCCTAACAATACTGAGAAGTGAGTTACGGTGAGCTTTGACTTTCTGCAGCAGTTTGTTTTCAAGTATGTGACTTGGCACGAGGAAGAATAAAACAGGCCTCATACAGGTCTTCACCACACACATGAGCAGTGTGCCAAGGACCATGCTAAGCCCTGAGCGGTCTCAGTAAGCTAAGTACGTCAGCATGTCAGCCTTTCCAATCAAGAGGTTCACCTTGCATCACACCAGGGAAGCGGTGGCTGAGTAAGCTGTACGGCTGTGTGTACAGCGTGACTAAAGGAAGCATTTACGTATGTGTGCACAGACAGAGTGTGCTAATGTCTGTATGGGCAAATAAAGATCCAGGTCCCTGTACAGCATTTGATTTTCTTTCAATAAATATAACCTGCCTCTGCAATTTTAAAAAGATGAATTTGAAAATAATTTTCTAGCTTTGAAAGACTCAACTGAATATTAGGTTTTAAGTTCATTTGTATAAAAACATTTATTAGTTTTAATCCTTAAAATATATCCAATATAATTATCAGTTAAGTTGGAAAGAAAGTAATATTTGGGCTTTACACAAACTGTTCAGAGGGTCAGGCAGTGGGTGGGAACCCAGCAGCGTCTGTATTACTAAGAATTAATGAATCTGTAATTTGCATATATTGTAATCTTGATACACAAATAATTAAAACTGAACAGTCAATGACAAGTCAGTGACAAGCATCATCAAGCGTCACGGCATAACAGCAGATTGTCCGATTACTGAGGATCAAATGCTGTCCATTATAAGACACACACACACATCCACTAAGCAGTGGTGAAGAATATTTCACGGCACTGGGAAATGTCTGGACACGACTTTCTTTGTGCAATGCTGGGACTGCATCCAGGGCTTCATGCACACGACGCAAGTGCTGTACCGCTGGCTCCACCTCCAGCCCGACTCCTTTTTTAAGTCGTGATAGCACAGTACTGCTCTACGTATACCACCATCTCTGGGCAGTAGCACCATATTTCATTTTTTTGTGCTTTCTATATTTTTTGTCTCCAATAAAGTTACAATAAGTAATAAAGGTATTTAAAATGAACCAAAGTAAAAGGCTCAAATTCCTAACGTACTACTGCTTTCTAAATTGTACCTTTCAGCTTTTAGCATGCTACAACATATGCTCAGAAAAGACTGATTAAAAGTGTACATAATCCCTGAAATGTCCATTAATGTCATAGTTGTTATAATTCTTTCAATTCTTTTTAAAAATACTGATGGTGAGTGATTTGCCCACATCGAAGAAATGTTAACGCACCAAACAATGTGTTGCAAAAAGTCTATTCATCTCTTTACTTGCCTTTAAGTTTTCAACTTTTTCTTCAAATGACTTGAAAGTCGGGGAGTTTCTATGGACAGAACAAAATGGCAAAATTATAAACACTGAGACATTCCAACAATTGTGCTAACATTACTTGACTAATTCCTATTCACCATCACTCAACCAGCAAAAGAACTGTTATATTTATCTGCATATACACAAGCATTTGTAATATAAGACTATCCACTTCTGAGATACTATTTCTGTAAATCTGCATTCATGATGACATCCTCAGATATAAGTGACACAAGACACACAGTAAGTATCTGTGTGAAGAGAGTGGAGAAAGCCAGGTAAAACAAACATTAATTCTGCAAACACCTGCCTGGCAAACGCAAGGTCCTGAGTTCGATTCCCCATTAAAAAAAAAAAAAAAAATCAATTGTCTCTTCCCCAAACAACTTATCATGGCCTAAGAAAAATGACACCATTAGGTCAGTTTACTGTTGGCTAAGGTGGTAGCACCGTCTAAAACTCCTGTTTAGAGTCACATCTTGCCTGGCAGGATTCAGACATGAACCCAAATCACCAAGCTGAGACAATCAGACCATTGGCGGTTCTGTAACAGGGACTGGGATTCCCAGTTCCTAGCGGACAGCATCATGGACAGGGACTGGGGAACCATAGGGAAGCTTGGAGCACAGAAACCTGGCTTTGCTACTTCCCAAGCTTCCCTGGCCGACAAAAACAGCGCTCAGAGCCCACAGACACTTCATAACCACCTTCAAAACCATCCACATGAAGGATGCTCACAGGGCTTTTGATTCTCACACAGGTTCCCAATGTTCTTATCCTATCCACCTGGTTTCACATAGCTTCCCAAGATGAGAAAGCCACGGGGTTCCCTGCTTCCTCCAGTGGTGATGGTCGAATACCATAAGCCAACAGTTCTAAGTGTCTCCCAGTCCATCTGCAGCATTAGTAATGCAAATCCTCAGGTCCCACTCCAGCTCTACAGAACAGAAACACTAGGGGTGGGTCCAGCAGACAGAGGTTTAACAAGCCCTCCAGGTGATTCCAATGCATGCTGAAGTCAAAGCGAAGGGTATACTGATTAAGACCCTCTGCTCCTCTGGGAGGCTAAGTGGTGTAAGGACATGAAGCACGTGTAAGTGCTCACTGCTGAGGGCCAACAGTCCTGCTGAGTCACAGGTGGTTTCAAATGTCACAGCGGGACAAGGGAAGGATGGAAGAAATAGCGAGTGTAGTGAAGGGTCACAGAAGAGGTGAACGGCCTGTATCCACCAAAAGGAAAGGTTTGATTAGGGAGCAGTGTTCACTTTCCAGTGAAACACTGCAGATATGAAACCAGTTTTTATAAAGTAAAACAGTTCTTGTATTAAAACTCACAAATATTTACTCTTTCAGGTTCTTAACACTAGGGAAACAGTACGATGTTTACACATGAAAAAGTAAATAAACCCAAAAAGTACAACAGATGTTGTGAATGGAAAAGAAATTGCTCAAAGGGAAGGAACAACGGGGATGAGGGAAAGGGGAAAAGAAAGAAGGGAAAAAATATACACATATGTATATACAAGGACAGCTGGGATAATTGTACTGCTGATGTCTAGTGGTTCACGGAAAGGAACAGCTAATGCTTAAATTTTTTGACCAATTTTGCATGTTTATATCTGGTAAGCCGAACAACTAATTTGAAGACAACAGTATGTAACAACCATTGCTGAATTCCTACCATCCTGTTTAGTGAAGCTCTGTATCATTTCTAATGTTTTTTAAATTGTATTTTACTCTCTTTAATTGTTTGATCAATCTTGCACTCTTACATCATCTGGTAATCTGAGCAACTTTGCTGAAGACAATATGTAATGTACCAACCACTGTTAATTTCCTATCAACTTGTTGTGAAATTCTGTATCATTTTATTTTTGTGTTATTTTGTTTTTATCCTTGTTATTTTGTTATTGTTTTCTCTTTAAAATTAAAAAATAAATAAATAAAAACCTTGTAAATATTTAATGCATCTCTTGCACCCAGGCCAACACTGTAAAAGTAACTGAAACTTGGCAGACTGTCAAACACTGCTTGTTTGGAGTAGAATGCTAGTTGGCTACTTCCAAACAGTTCAGGTAAATATGTAAACACAGCACAAGCGTAAGACCAACTATATTTGGTAGAAATATACTTTACCTCATAGCAGGCATGCTAATTGAATGTTGAATGGAGCGTATACTTAAGAGGCAGCATTAAAAAGAGACAGAAATGAAGTTAATATAGAGTGGTGATTCAACATAGAAAAAGCCCACAGAACAGCTTTCTACAAGCTTTATCCTTTTGGCGCCATGAAGAATTACCTACTTTTTGAAGCGGAGAGGATCACAGTTATTACAACGTAATTTATTTTATTCCTGAGCCAATTTAATCCCAATTCCTATTAGAGTTAATAATACAACCTTACAGTTTTACGGCATTTGAAAACTGGAGTAGGAGTTCACCTGGATCTGTCCAGTATATCACACTGAGGTCAGAAGTTCAGTGATTTACCCAAGGTCCATGCAGAATCAAGAATGGAACTTGGGTCTTTGGTACGCCTACCTCAGTGTTCACTACCTCCCCTCAAAAAAGGACACACATACAACTAACACGTACACACAGTGACAGGCCCCTGCAGTCAGCTTTGTCTCTGTATTGGTTTCCAGGGTGGAACAAGAAAGCTTCAAAATAAATCACCCACTTGACAACTAAGTGACTTTTGCGTATTACTCCTCAGCAGTACCAGTATGTATTGTGTACTAGACACTTCCCTATACACTTCATCCCAATTACACTAAAAGCTCTTAAAAGGCCAATCAAGGAACATTTGGCCCTTGGCCTTACAAAATCTGTCTTCCATTCATGGACAAGGCAGTTTGCTGATTGCTGGAACTCCAAGCTATCTATCTAAGCCGACTCCCACAGGAGGAGACCACCTCAGGAGCTCCAGGCCTAACGTCACAGCATGCTACTGATATCGTCGCTATGCACTTACTATTTTGATCACTGGCACAGCTCTTTTTGGTAAATAATCCTCTGGATAAAGTACATAGTTGAAGGTATACATTCTCCATTATATTTAAATACTTTGTGTGTTCGTGTTTTAGTTTTCTCAAAGATTCAGTTGTTACAAATGGTAATGCGTTTTGACTATAGCTCCTCAAATCTAGTTTTGCACGGATGTGTAATACAGTATGGTCTTTGTATGTATCAAAATATCCTGGTAGTTCAGAGAATCAATAAAATATTTCCACATCTGTGAACTTAACACAAGAACAGACCCATGTAACCCAGCATCCTCTACTGTACAACGGTGACTGAAATCTTGGCTAAAGAACTACACTCTAGGAGAAATTAGCTAGTTCTCTTTGTACGAAGTCCCATACTTAAAAGACAAAGATGAAAGCAAAACATCTTTCTAAATTTGAAACTAGAGCTTCAGTCACCACCTGCCCTTCCCCTCAAGCCCTTCCAGCAGCCCTCCCTGGAACAGCTACGCTGCCACAGACCGCCTCCTGCCATGAATCCCATGACAACAGGCTCGGTGGAGCACCACCCACATCTCACCTCTTGGTGATCTACAGATTGCCGGGACTGAATGGGGGCACAGGATTAAGATTCTTTCCCTGGCAGACTACAGTCAGGAAGCCACGCTCGCTGGCTCAGCTAGCGCGGGCACTGAGGTGAGAAAGTCACGTGGACTTAAATGTCAGAAGAATTTTTTGAGACCAGGTGGAAGCTGCAAGAATGCAGAGGAAGCTGGTTCCCAAAAACAGGATCAAATATAAGCAGAGGCAAAGGACCTCAGGAAGAGATGACCATGCAGGAAGGGAGAGGAACAAGGGTGCTGGTTTCCTCGGTTTCTGCACACTCTCAATCCCTAATCCTTTCCAGTTAGCAGGCTGCCTTCAGAGAGGCACCCTTTCCGCTCCCGCAGTTGCAGAGAACTTTCTACCTGTAAAGCATTTTCCCTTTTAAGCTGAGCTAACACACACCAACTTTTTTGCTCATAACCAAAGGAGTCTTCACTGGTACATTCACTTTTGGTAGAAGCTACCAAATTCTGGCAACAGAAGCTAAGTACTGGCCAAATGTGATAAAATGCTTACCCACAAGATCTACAAGCTGAATCCAATAGTATCAACCAAGTGAGGGCGTAAGTGGTTAAAGCACAAACTTCGGAAACTCACAGCTGGTTCTAGTCCCTGCTCCTATGCCCCACTTAAAGGGCCACGTTCTTCCCGTGGCCGGCAGCTGCGTCCTCAGACGGCACGCTAAGTGCGCTTCCACAGAAACACGCAAGGAAAAGCCAGGAAGTGACTGGAGTAAGATCTGTTATGTGAAAATCACTGAGCTGAATTTGAGGTTGAGGACTGCTGTTTCAGAAAAAAAGACAAAAGCGCACTTACTAAGCAGAACGAAATCAACAGATACAGATTTAAACCCAAGGTTCTTCGTTTCTGATGAAGCAGCAAGGCCAAGGAACACAGACCCATTCCAATTCCATCCAGGTACGTGATCCTCTCTATAATCTGTATTTAGATGAAATTCAGTTTTCTTGTAAGGTAGCTGGAACTAACTATTTGGTAGCCCCTGTTTCATTTCCAGCTGCTGTATAAAAAGTTACACAAAGCTCTAACTTCCCTCAACTTCATATCCAATCTCCAATTTCATTCAAGGTTAAATGCCATATGGAAAACTTCAAAAGCAAAAAGCCATCTTACCACTGGACCGGAACAGTCTCTACAGGTTGTGAAGATCAGTGAGTATCTATGAAGTAAATTTTATTCAAAAATTTCCACCTTCAGGGTATTGTACAACCACCATTGATAAATTCCTGCCATTTCTGTCTGTAACTCACTATTATTTGACTATTTGTTTTCCTGAGAAACTGTCTTGAAGATACCAGTAGGTAAAATAACAACCATTGATAATGTCCTACCACTTTGTAATTCGGTGTATCCCCCTACTGCTTTGTTATCCGTTTTACTCTTTAAAATAAAAAAAAAAATTAAAAATTAAAAAAAAAATTTCCACCTTGCTTTGTAAGCTTCAAATGTATTAGTCTCTAGTTAAACCAGAAATTTAAAAATTGAGTCCTTTACCACATATGGTGGTGTACACCTGTAATTCCAGCACTTGGGAAGCTGAGGCAGGAAGATCGCTGTGAGTCAGAGCCCAGCCTGGGCTACACAATGAATTCAAGGTCAGCCTGAACTACATAGCAAGCCTCTCTCTCAAAACACCAAAGAAAAGAAAAGCAAGCTGAGTTCCTAAACACATGCAGAAAAAAATGGCAGGGCCATCTAACACTAGTGCTCAATCTCATATCCACTCTCACTTTGAAAAAAAAAAAATTCCATTAAAATCTAAATTATCCCTAAGTTTTTTCCTGGTGTTTTACACAATCATTTGATTTTTTGATCCCTAGTAAGGGGAGAGGAGAAAGAAGCGAGGTGGTAGGTGGAGGCAGTGTTAACGGGTACCCTGCTGGGATACTCCCACATGCCGGGCACGCTGTGAGGGCAGTCTGTGCGTGACTGCACCATTTTGTTCTGCAACAACCTCTGCACGTAGGCAGCAGAAGAGCAGCTGCTGGGCAGAGCACTGTCTCCAGCTGTCATTGTTCTGCGGAGGCACGAGGAATACTGCAGCCCTGAGACTTGGGTGTGCTGGGTTTGAATCTGACCATCAGCCACTCAGCCTTTCCCTGCACCTGAGGATTCCCCTCGACTGTACTAACCAAGCAGTACCAGCACCTACTCCAGAGCTGCTACGTATGCTTCTGTCACACATACATGTCATTATAACAGGTGATTATAGTTAAAACAGAAAATCTACTTCATACTGGGTTTTACCTCTCAAAACGTTCAAGTTTCAGTTTGTTATTTCAATCATCAGCACCAACCTACAGTCTGGACCAGTGCTTGGCATGCAGCTAGCACCCAAAAAAATACTGCATGAAGGAATGATCAATGAACAGTATTGTTAACTAAAATGGAAAATATGGGTATGAAAGGTAGAAAAAATCATTTTTCAAATTCCAATCAAAAGATAATCTCTTTCTGAGAAAAGACATTTCTTTTCTCATTAAGGGGTAGAAATTTTCAGGAAAAAGCAACTGCCTGGAATATCTTTAATAAACCCGAAACAAAGAAAAAAGATCTAGTGTTGTACATGAAAAAGCAATCATTTAAAAAGCAGAACTTTCCTTTGGAAATAGAGGCAAAACGAATTAGCACTTTCTCTTTACTCTGTCAGAAACTGAAGGGGCTGGGGATATAGCTCAGCGGCATAAGCCCCTGTCTGGTAAGCGCAAGGTCGTGAGTTTGATCCCTGGTACCGCAAAAAGAATATATATATATATATCTATCACAAACTGCAAAATGAGGCTGCCCTTACCACAGTACTCTGTCACTAACAACTTACGCATCCCGGTGGCACAGACTGAAGGTCTTTCAAAGTTTCTCTCAGGATGGAAAAAGCACGAGTCAGCGCTTACCGCGGATGCTAAAGAGTAAACACGCAGCGGCGAGAGGGGCTGTCCCCACGGGCCTCCTCACGACCTCCTGCCCCCTGGCTCTCGGCTCTGCCGTGCCCTCGGTCTCAACACCGGAAACAGACACTCGGGTTCTCACTCTTCCTGCCCACCTCTCTACCCGCCCCCTTCTCTCTCTGCTTCCTTCCTTCTCTCCTCGCCCTCCTCCTCCCGCCGGGGAATAACCATGACAAATACCTACATCTCAACAGGTAACGTTGGCCATGTAAAACGAATCTGGTGCTAAATCTACTGCCTGGTGCGTTTCTCTTTCTAGATCTGTGTAAACCTCTCCGTGAAGCCACTGGCCTAAGCTCGCCAGGCAGGACGGATCCGAAGCAGTCAACAGGTTCACCAACCGTTCCGCAGCAGCTGGCAAAGCTCCGCTGCGGGGACAGAGCTCCGGGCTCCAAGCCCGGCTCCTTTCCTTGGCCAGCTGCGGGCAGAACGGGGCCAGCATTTGCCGCCATGAGCCACAGTCTAAAAGATGTGGCTTTCGTTATACGTCTGAACGCACTGGATCAGATGAAGGGACTTTACTCAACTTTTGGTCTGTACGAATTACAAAGACTAAGAGAACCTTATTTCTCTCATTGTCCAATGTTACTCAAGAGACTTAACCTCCATACACTGATACAGATAGTCATTAAAAACAAGACTGAAAGCAGCAGAGGATCATATTTTTAAGTGAAATAAAATACAGTAACTTAAAAGGAACAAGAAAACAACAAAGCTTAAGTCTGTTTCTGATGAGTTCATACACACTGGGCCATACCTAGTTACAGCTAACATATTCTTATATTTGTATTTCTATCACACCTAACACTGCTTTGTAATTGAGCGATTACAGGCTCTTTCATTCTTAATGCTCCCAAAGTCCCCTCTTCCTTCCCCATCCACTCCTAAGATTTTAAGCCCTGCCCCAACAAAAGCCACATCTGCCTCATGACCACGGCCTCAGACTGTCCACACCATGCTCTTGGGTCGGAGTGCTGAATGGGACCGACCAAATGCTCACTCAGGTGCCCACAGCACTTTGCAATTAAGATACACAACCAGCTCTACTCACTGGTTATTTGATATTTTTAACTGGAAATTGTTTAACACTTAGAGTTCATGCGTCCTTATGGTTTCCTCCAACTTCTGGGCTAGGTGTCACCAAGCCCAGAGGTATTAGTATATGCATGCCTGCAGGCAGGCAGCTAGATCGCAGCAAGTGACTGCTCGAGAAGACAATCTGCATTTGGTGGACAGAGAGGGAGACTCGTGTTATCTTCCTGCTTCCCTCTGGAGATCTTCTCCCTCTTCTGTGTCCTCTAGCGCCTAACTGGACGGTTAGCCTGTGCTCGAGAGCCTCACTCAACATGCAAGGACTCCTGCTAGAAGGCACGGTTTGGGTTAATGTCTTTTTAATGTACTTTGGGTGCTGACCTAATGTACTTTTTCCTTTTGCAATCCATGAAATTGCCCTGTATGTACAGTTAAAGACTACAACTAGTGTAAAGGTAATAAACTAGTAAAAACTATGAGGTAGTAAAACAAATATCAAAAGGTACAGAGTAACAGCAAATTTTCTTATGTTTATTTTACTATACACAAGAAGTACAGTAACCCATATAAGACAGAAGACTTACTATCAAGAGGCATACATGTGCAGCCTATTATAAATGCATAATGAGACCCAGGTGAAAGAATCCAACATCCTTACAAAAGCACCAAAGACACAAAAGCATCAAAAAACAAACAAAGTCAGACATTAAAAGGGAGGAATTCTGCATGCCATGGTAAAGCTGCTTGTTTTTTAACAAAAAAAAAAAAAAATTAAAAAGAAACTTAAAAATCATTTCCATAACCCTCGAACCAGTGTCAAATTCTTCTTTTAATTTATCCATTACTCATGGTATACAAGAACTCCTCCCTTCAAATTAAAAATGCATTAGAGAAAAAAGAGACTCCGAACTCAAAGTACTGGACGGGGTGGACAAACAGGACCATCTGATGTGGCACAAGCATCTATGCTGAGTACACTTGTCTCACACAACTGCTAGGCTGCAGTGACGGTTTGAATTCTCCTTACCTAAAGGAGTGCGGAAAGGCCTGCAATCTGCAAGAAGGCAGAGTAAGCATTAAAAAAGAAAGGAAGTTCTGACAAGTCTAATGCAATTAAATAACCTACTATTTAAAAGACACACGTTTTACCCAGGCCCTAAAGTGATACATCCGTCAGCATAAAGAGAAGCAAAAGCACCTAGCAGGTGTATATGTATACATAACTCTCAGCAAGGTTCGAGAAAACTGTAGTTATTATATTGGCCTTAGAGTGATACTCCAAATATAACAAGGAAAGAATTCGGCTCCTGTGGTACGAAGCATACTACACCGACCAAGCCCTGGCCAGCTGAAGTTCGAGTAGAACCTACTGTCCCGTGAATGTAAAACACAAAGTCATGCAGTCTGCGCTTTTTCTAACCACACATTTTGCATGCCGGCAGAAGCACAGCTGATTCAAACCACACTGTCGGTTTTGCGCTATTCCAGTCCACGTGGGTGAAGGGACGCACAGAAGCACTATGAAGTGGTTTTATCAGAACAATGACAAGGAAAAGCCTGCCAACTAATCTAAAACATAAATGGAACACAAAAAGCGACAGCTCAAAATTAAGATTTGGGCCTAAGCATGAATGTCGGTACAGCTCACAGGCTAGTAGCAATCAGTGCACAGACAAGCAGGTCGCAATCACACCACGAACAAGGCTGTCAGATACACACACAGGGAAGCCGGTCTGCATCCAAGCGTGCGCGTCACTGCGCTTGTGCTCCTCCCCAGAGACACCAGGTCTGCCCACAGCCACGCCCTTCCCACCACCAGGGGCATACTTACCCTGGATGATCAAAAGGGTTACAAAAGACACAAAAGTTCTGCAACCACAATTTCTCCAGAAGAGGACCATTTTTGACATTAGAATGCTATGCCTAGAGGGATCTGGGCAAGAATTTGAGGACCTGATTTAAAGGAGCACCCCCTTCCTCAGTCCAACAGGGACTCCAGTGTCCCCCTGACCAAAATCAGGAAACAGAAGCAACCACACCAATGTTTCAACACGCCTCCACCTCCCAGTGAGCAAAGAAAATGCCGACATACTTTACGTCTTCCAGCTTTTTGGTGATAACAGAGCCAACAGATGAAAAGGCCGCTGAAGCCTTCTGTCCAGCCTGGGATAAGGTTTCGGAGGTCTTCCTGTATCTGTATTCAATTAGAAATGTGCAGAAAAAAGAAAAGTCAGCTAACTTTTTTTTTCCTTTTTTTGCTAACCTTTTATAGTATGAATCACTTTAAGTGCAGTGGTTATCCCCTTTTGGAGCACTCTAACGTATTTTTCTGGGATATAGTAGCACCTGACTATAATGCTAGCACTGAGTAGGCTGAGGCAGGAAGATGTCAGTTCAAGTCCAGCATGAGCAACTTAGCAAGACCCTGTCTCAAAATGAAAAATAAAACAGGGATTAGGATGTAGCTTAGTATTTACATCTGTTGAGTTCAACCCCCAGTGCCACATAAACGAATGAACGAATGGTTTCAACAACTTCAAAAACCCTACAGAACCACCAAAGCAGCAACAACCGCATCATCTGACACGGAACCACCACTCAGACATGACCTTCTGCAGTGCCCCGGCTGAGACAGGAAGACAGAGGTCCGTAAAGGCAAAGCCAAAGAAAGAGTTAAAAAAAAGTCATGGGACAAAAAATGAAAATGAACCAGGCGTGCTAGTGCACACCTTTCATCTTAGCTATTTGGAGGGCTAAGGCAAGAGGATCGTAAGTTTAATGCCAGCCTGGGCAACTTAGTGAGACCCAGTCTCAAAATAAATACTGCTTTCACCTATTTTTTGTAAGTGACAGAGTGCTTGCCTAGCATGTGTGAGCCCCTGGATTGTAGCCCCCCAGTTCTGGGCGGGGAGCACCAGTGACTAAAAGAAATTATACCTCCTCTTCCTTTCCCACATAACCAAACAAAACTTAAGCTTTGCCCGTCTGTAAAGCTACCAAATAAGGACCTGCGACTCTCAACAGGGTGTGTTAAAGGTACAGTGCTTAAAATGACTGGGGAATACCTGCTTTAACAGTCCCGGCTGCCTGAAGACAGAAAAAAATGACAATGACAATAAAAAGCATGAGGAATGTACAAAAAGGCCACCCTTCCCCACTGTGGAAGAAGATGTGCAGGCATTTTTTTCCCCACAGAGATCAAAGACCAGGAACAAACACAGCGTGTGATAGCAGAGCCAAAGATCTGCTTCCTGCATGTTTTCCCAGCATTAACTAACATGGGTAGAAAACAGGCCCAGGCAGAATGCAGCCTGGCCACCCGCGGCCTCACGCAGCGGGCCTCGCCGCTGATGGCCAAGCTGCCAGCCCCTCCTCAGCTCAGCGCTCGGCGCCGGCCTCTGCACCAAACACAACAGTTCGGTCTGATGCCGGAAGCTTGCTCCTGGTTGTGCCACGAAACAAAACTGCACTGCTCAGGTTATTGCTGGTTGTGCGACTGAAAAGACAAAAAAGTTAGGCAGCTGGCCTCTGCTCTGAGGACACATGAGATCCTGACCTGAAAACGTTATGATACGCATTGAGCAGAGCTTAAAAAAAAATCAAGGTGTGCTACTGCACACCTGTTATCCCAGCACTCAGGAGGCTGAGGCAAGAGGATCACCACAAGTTTGAGGCCGGCCTGGGCTACAACGTGATTTCAAAACCAGCCTGTAATACACAGCAAGATCCTGCCTCAAACAACTAAGCAAAATGACGGGCTGCACATGTGGAGAAAGTCTGTGACCTCAGCACCTCACTTACCTGGCGCATTATGTCCCCTTAGGTTTCTCCCGCCCTGCGTTTTGCTGGGTTAGCGTGAGGACTAAATGACACAGTGTATGGATGTGGAAAATGAACGTTCATCATTCAACACTCAGCATTCATTCATGCGCTGGGGAGGCGTTCCAGGCCACCGCGGGTGCCTCTCACTGAGGATCCTACCAGACCCTATGAGTCCTACCTTCTCCTTCACGGCCACTGAGTGACTGAAGGGAAGCGACCCATGCAGCCTGAACACCCCAGACCAAGGCGCAGTTCTCGTCCCCAGCCGGATGGAGGGGGCCAACAAGATGAGTCGTGCGACTCGACGTGGCATGCAATTTTAAACTTTTTAATTATGTATTTCTAGAACTTTCCACCTAACAAGCTCACAGCTGACTGCAGGAAACAAACCTCACAAAGAGGGCCTGCCCTACAGCACTCCTGGGACTTGAATTCTGTGCTTTAACTTCTACGTAAGGCTGCTTTTTGTTTCCTGGAACAGTGTTAAAAAACCGAAGTGGGGAAAAAGTCAGCTACACTTGCCAGTTGTAAAGGAAGTGCCTGTGTGAGTGCGAGAAAAGCTGTGGAAGCACCCTCATCCCCTCCACCTCCCCTCCCAGAGAAATCAGGCCAAACTGTCCCCCACGCTGTCTGGAGAAACGTGCGGCTGAGGGGACGTACGCGGACGTGGCCGTCACATCCTGCCACCCCTTGGCGATGTTCTGCTTCAGCTCCTGCAGGGAGCCGATCCCCAGTTTCCTCTTGATCTCCGCTAGATGCTTCTCCTTTGCTGCCAACACTTGAGACAGAGTCTGGATTTCTTCTTCCACCTACGAGGAAGGGATTTGCAGTAGAAATATAGCAAAAGCCATTCAGTGAAGGTTTTAGAGCAAAGCAATACCCAAAGTTGTAGTCACTTAGACATCTGCTTAATTTATCTGTCCCTTTACAAGCGCAGTGTCATTAAACAAACGGCTACACACTCACTCCTCCTACAGAGCTCCTCCTTTCCCTCCCGTGGCAGTGCTTTATACCCTGTGAGCTGTCCCTGGCCTTCTCTCTTCCTTACTCAACTCTCTCACAGAAGTTTGGGGCTTGAGCCCTTTACAGGAATGATTTTCAAATCTGATTGTACCTGACCACTGATTCAACTTTCCAGCTGGACATTTCTACTCTCCATGAATGCCCGTTACACTCGTATCTGTATACGGAATCAAAATAATCTCACCCCCCACCGAAACACACACAACCAACCCACACCAAAGTCCAACCTTCACGCGTACTGCGTGAGTTTACACTCAATGTGGTGAGTCCCGGTACCGCCAAAACAGATGAAACTGCCTCCCCCACAGAGCCCTGCAAAGGGCCTGATGGGCCCTGACCCAAGGACAGCCGCCCACTGAAGCCAAGAAGCAGCGACTGCCTGCTCTCACCCAGGATCCCGGACTGAGGAACGGAAGTAACACCGAGAGGACTTGGAGAACAAAGCCGCGAGGTAGAGCTGGGCCGCAGGGAGGCTGTGAGCTGTGGATGCCAAAACTGTGAGCAGATGTGCTCGGAGGAAGGGAGAAAAACGCAGAAGAAAAAGCTAAGCCAGGAAGATGGAAAGGGCAAGCTCAGAGGGAGGCGACTCCGCGATGGAAGAGATGTTTGGTGCCAGGAAGCTGAAACCCTGAACCCCGATGGTACACTCATGAATATTCAAGACCCTTACACAAATGCTGCCTGTGGCTTAACGCAAAGCCATATTCTCAGCCCTGACCTACACAACATTTCTGTGATCTCAAAGACAGGACCTTTAAAACTATCAGGCAGTAGCACTAAGTCAACGGTTTTTCCTGCTAAGTAAATCCTTAGAAAACACGAAGAAACGCAGAGCTCAAAAATAGAAGGCAAATTCAGTATGATACAGCCTCAGAAAGAAAGAAGGGAGGGAGGGAGGGAGGGAGGGAGGAAGGAAGGAAGGAAGGAAGGAAGGAAGGAAGAAAGGAAGGAAGGAAGGAAGGACACCAACCTGGCTTCCAGACACCACGGAAGGGCAGTAGGTCCAGAACCGACATTATCTTCTCTGTGTGCCAGAGAGGACCTCAAGCGTCACACCCAGCTTTTAGAGGTCCCAGTTTAAGATGTACACTGGTGACACGGAATATGAGAAGGAAAAGGCAAGCGAAGACGAATGGGTAAGTTTCAGAATTAAGTAAACTGAATGATTTACCCAAAGTTATCAAACCATGTAGGAATCAGAATTGTGAGCCAAGTTTTCAGACTCAACTTTTCAATCAACTGGCTGATGCCCAGGGCATGAGCACAGCACTGACGGTACTGTAAGATGGTGTCACTGCCGTGGAACTTTTCCCAAAAAAAGTCAAGTGCGGAAGTATAAGATAAAGTAGTTCCACTTGAGGCCAGGTATTCAAACAAGCATTTGCGCATCAATGCTCAAGCTCACTATCACAACAGTCAAAAGGTGGAAAGCACTCAAATATCCATCAGTGGATGGATTAAAAAACAAAAATACGGTGGTGGGGGGTGTTACTTAGCCACAAAAAGGAGCGAATTACATACACACTACAACATGGATACACCTTGAAAATGTAAGTGAAAAGAACCAGACTCAGAAGATCATACATTGTGAGATTCCACTAATAAGAAATATCCAGAAAATAGCTAAATCTATGGAGACAAGAAACATATTACGGTGGCACACACCTACAATCCCAGAATTCTAGGAGGCTGAAGCAGGAGGATGGCCAGTTCAAGAGCAGCGTGGGCAAGACTGTCTCAAAATAAAACATACAGAAGAAAAAAGAGTGGGAATGTAGCTTAGTGTAAAAGCCCTGGGCTCAATTCCCAGAAAAAAGAAGAAAAGAGAGTAGGAGAAAGAGAGGGAGGAGGAGGAAAGAACGCATGCCTGCACATGAGCCGCTGCCAGCGGCCGAGAGGGAACTGAGGAGTGACCACCGGCGGAGCAGGAGGGGCTCCTTCAGAAGTGCAGGAGGCGTGTGGGGCCCGACAGCCGTTGTGGTCAGGATGCCGCTGGCCGGTACACTGTCGTGGGGCTGACTTCATGCTGTGTGAATCTAACACAAGGGCGTTAGGAAGAGGGACTAGCGGTCAGGCGGGCAGACCAGCAGACGCTGGAAGAAAGGAAAGGAGGGGTCGGGGGAGGCTCACACTGCCCGTACCCAGAACCAGAACCAGCGAGGACAGCATCAAGAGCGCGTGCTGGAGACGCTTCGAGGTGGAAGACCCGTACTCCTCTCCTCCGTCTCTGCCTCACACCTGCCTTCCGCCACTTTTCTCCAAGCGCTGTCCTAGAAACAACCGGCGTCCCCTCCTCCAGCTCCGTCCCCTACTCCAGCTCTCTACCCCGAGCACAGGCGCTTTCTCCCCGGAGGCGACAAGCTGCTCCCACTCGCTTTGGAAACAGCGGCTCCACTGTAAGGTCCAAACACGGAGCCCCAACGGGAAGGTCCTTCACCTTTGCCAGCTCTCTCCTCAGCTCGTCCTGCTCCTCCTCCGAGAGCGTCTCGGTGGCGCTGAGCGTGGCTGCAGCATCTTCTCCTTCCTCAGGCACTGCGTCTGTCCTCAGCAAACCTTGGGGATTAAAAAGGAAAGTCTATGAAAGTGTAGAAGTGAAGTGAAATTCTCCATGGATTGCCCCCCTGTCCCAGCCAGAGTAAAGCCAAACGGACTCTATCCTCGTATCACCTCCCTGCCCCTCCGGATGGCTGGCTCCCCTAGGCAGGGCCGAAAGAGGGATCCAGGCTGTCCAGTGAGAACGACAACCTCAGACGCTGAAGCAGGAAGTTAGAACGGAGCCCGGCCTTCTCCCAGCTTCTGCTCACACCCTCCGCCGGGAGAGTTACAACAGAGCCAGAGCGGGCAAGAACGGGAGCTCGCCAAGGTCAGCTTTTAAAAGGCGGCGTGAACAGATCGGCATAAATCAGCCCAAGGAGACCCTGCACGGATCAGCCCAGTATTGAACAACCTCAGCGAAGGCACAACCACGGAACTAAACACTCACAGAAATCTTGTCCCATCCCTGATCTAACGGAGGCAGGAACACCTTCTGGTAGCTTTTATTAAAATTATCACCTCCTCCAGATTCCTTTTAAAAGCACCTAATGTATACAGTGAGACACACCCAGCAGACCTCCCACATCCTCAAAGACCAAACCTAGGCGCCCCTTCGCCGGCGACAGAGCCCCTGGGAAAAGGCCCACGTCTCAGGGAGCACCGGAGGGGGCAGCCCCTCAGCTCTCCCCAGCCCACACCCACATGGCTAAGGTGAGGCCAGCGAGGCCCCAACCCTGAGAGCACAATAGGAGGGCGAACCAAAAAATTCAGTATTTTAATGCAATTTTTAAAATCAAAGTGAATTCACGGAATCCACGATGGACAAAACACCAAATTTTTAAAAAGATCTGATTAGTAATTGCTGGTTTTTCCTTTTGCCTTAGTCTCCAAAATGGCTCTGTGTGGACAGCACTGTCGCTAACTTTGTCTTTAAACTTTTGACCTTCTGCCAGGGAATTTTTGGTATTAACTTTAACTTTTGAAGAAGACTGCATGATGAGCATCTGGGCACCTCTTGCCCTGCATACCTGAGCCCGGCCTTACACGCCCCCTTCCGTTTCCCACATCACAGACCCAGGTTTTGCTGTCACTTCTGGCAACAGATTTTCCCCCAGAGGACTCGGGAGGCCCCTTTTTCTGACAGGCGGCCTCAGCTGCTGCCTACACCGTCCACGATCACTGCTGAGAAGGGCTGGCGCAGCTGTGGGGCGTCCCAGCCAAAGCCAGGCAGCAGACGAGGGACCGCGGGCAGGCGGAGGGAGGAGGAGGAGAGCCGCACGGGTGAAAAGCTGCCAGTGCCACAGCAGACATCAGGACAGGAGCCGGCGGCATCAGGGCACGCGCACTGTGCACACGCTACCGCCTCGGCCCGGGGCTGGTGTGTGCTCCGTGGGTGACAGCAGCGAGCAACGGCAGTGTCCGGCGTGAGGCCCCAAAGGACGCTGTCTGCAGAGTGGTCAAAGGCAGAGAAGCAACGCAAACAAAAGAGTTCAAGAAGCTGGGCTGACAGAGGACGAGGGAGCTCTCAGACGCAAAGAGCGCGGCATTTGTGATCAGAAGGCACGCGCGCACTGAGAACTGCTGCTCCTCACACGGCCTCTGACTTCTTCACTCCCCAAGTAGTATCTGCACCACAAAAGTCTGATCACGTGGCTCTCCAGCTTAAAATCATTTAGCGGTCCCGATCACCTTTTAAAACAAAACTCAGCCCCTCAGCTGAGCACACAGGCCCGACTGGCCCCCTGGCACCGGCAACTCTTCCTCCAATTCCGCCAAAGCAAATGTGAAGGAGGTCCTGGACCAGTCCTGTCGGACCGGCTTGGGAGGACCAGCGTGTGCTCGTAAAAGCTCCTTGGACCAGACTGTGTGGGCGCAGGGCCTATGAGTCTGAGGACAGGAGACAGCACAAGGGGAACAACCAGATGAGGCCACGCGACCAGACCGAGACAGCACGGGCTGTGAACGCCTCGCTGGACCTTCTGCTCAGCACTCCCAGCTCTCAACGACAACAGGACGCGAAACCGAAACAAGACCAGAAACTGCAGGCGCTAAAGCGTGTTTTCAATAACAAAGGCTTTTTCGTGCTTGTTAATAACCCCATTTTTCAAATCTACTTTAAACTGGGAAAAATATAATATGCAACTGTCAACAGTGCACTGCAGATACTGCCTAGCTCTAAAAAGAACACAGAAAGGTTCTCATACAGGCTGAGCACCCCTAATTTAAAAGTACTACGACTTTGGAGCACACTGAATTTTGGATTTTCAAGCTTTGTACGCTCAGTGAGTAAAATCTCCATGTGAATACCCTCAAATTTAAAAATACAAAAAGCAAAAAGCTCCAAAATCTCTAACATACTTGGGTCCCAGGAATTTCAGGTAAGGAACACTTGACCTGTATTATTCAAGTACTGTTCACTACCGAGAGAAAGACATTTCTCAGGACGAGGTCGATGGGTTTGTGCACAGCTGACTTCAAAACCACCAGGATAACACAATTTTACACTCAGCATCTACGAAAAGCTGGTAACGACAAATTCCGCTTTTTCCATGTTGGCCTGCTGGTGGCTGCAGATCGTCAATACTGAATGTTTTCAAGCGCCGTTTAAGTTAACCAACTGGAAAAAAGAAAACGCAAGAAGGAAAAACAGCCTGGAAGATAGCAAGATCTCCGCAAACCCAGCATCCCGTCTCCGAAAACCGGCCGGCAGCAGGCGGCGCTGTTCCCGCCCGAACCCGAGCTGGGAGGCCGGGCACACGCGGGGCGCCCCGCT